GGTAAATTTTACGACTTATGGAACGTTTCGGGATTCCCGAGTTCGGACGGAGTGTTCTGCGTTTAAGAGCAAAATTTGCGTACTCCCGAAGCAAGATCAGGTTGTTGCATGAGCGCATCTGATGGCGCCAATTGCGGCTGCTGGCGAGTCTTCACTCTTCTCTTTCGTCTAGCTTTTTTCGGAGCTCTATACATCATCTTGCAGAAAGAATGGGCTCATGTTCCTCAGACGCATCAACAACTCCAACTTTTTGTGAAGGAAAACGCCTCGAGGCGTGCACTAAAGGCGTGCACTGAAATGCACGCTGTGCATCTGCAGTACACCTTAACACACGGCTAAGGTCGTAATATCTATCTATCTCAGTGTTCTTAACAGAAAAAGCTAGAAGCGTTTCATGTTTTTGGTTTGAGATATACGTTGTATGGAATGGATCCCTCAATACGACTACTTGTTCCTGATTTCTACTTTAAAATCTGAAGTGGTATTTCATTTTATGCTTTTTGAAAACAGTTAGATTTCAATTTTTGCGACTCTCTTTTGTTTTGTGCGTGTGTGCTATTGCTTGACAGCCTTCTTGTCCTTCTGGTTTACATTGTAGTTACTTCTTGCAGGTGGTTTCAAAGTTATTTACAAATCAACTCCGGATCAAAAACATCCTAGAAAGACCCCATAATACTTGAAAGATTTTGTACATATATGGATTGGTCCTCTGCTATATGACATCGCTGATAACTGTCAAAACTGATTGAAAGGTGTGCTTTTAGTCTGCAGTTCTTGTAGACGTTCTAGTTGCCTATATCAGGTCACTGGTACATCCTCCTGGAACGACACAATGGGAGACGAAGGATCCAAGAAATACCTGCCATCGTTCTGGCATGATGATGTCGCAATGCAGGGTTATATGAGCGTTATCAAAGTGAGGTGATCGGGACTTTGTATTAGTTTTGTAACCACATCCAATATAGGCGCGAGCTGTGAATCCCATTGACCATGACCGAAAAATCAAGTTTTGGGAAAATCTCATTGCAAAATCCTGCGAAGCTGAGGGTAATGCAATCATTAGCGTGGATTTGCTGAAGAAGAGGTTCCGACGAGGCGATCAGATTCCAGCTAGTCTCAACATCGTCTTGGAGCATTTAGAGAGGTAGTTTTCTCGAGCTTCTATCACTTGAAACTGTTCAACCTTCTATGCCTGCATGGATGCGTGGCTGTTTGCAAAGCGTTGCACACAAAAAGTTCAGGA